CCCCGCCCCCCAGACCCCAGTCCCCCCCCCCCCCCCCACGCCCGCCCCTCCCCCAGATTCTGGCCCGCCCCACCAATCCGCCATCTGCCCCTCTTCCCCGCGTTGACGGATCTGCATGTTCGCCTACTCTGCATCCGGTCGTGGTCTAGCGTGGTGGGGCATATCAGCCCATACTGCGATTCTCCAACCATCATCCATGGATTTCAGTCAGACAGTCAAACAGTCAGCCAGTCAGCCAGTCGGTCATTCGTCAGCCAGTCAATCAGCCAGTCAGCCCATCAGCCAGTCAGTCAATCAGTCAGTCAGTCACTTACTCACCCACTCACTCACCCATTCACCCACTCACCCTCCTCACCACCCAGATTCATGCTGCCCATTTAGTCCTTAGTCTTTTACCCCGCTTTGTTGATCAGGAGAGGTAAGTAAGTACAAGAGGCAGGCAGGGAGGGAGAGACTCTGCTGGTCTTGTCTCACCTCAACTTGTTTCTTCCTTCTTCTTCATCCATCAACTCCAACTTCCATCCTCCATCCTCGATCTTCCATCTTCCATCGAGGTCATCACCACTTCACATCACCACTTCACATCACCACTTTCTTCACCTTGCAAAGACAACACAAAGCAGAATCAACAGACACTCACACTTGACCCGGCAACATGGTCCTCCCAGCTGCTCGTACCTGTACGTTCCCTTTCCCTCCCTCTCTCTCCTCCTAACAGTGCCATCCCCATCCCCATACCCATCCCCATCCCCATCGCATCCCATCCCATCTCCTCATCTCCTCATCTCCCCATCTCCCCCTCCCCCTCCCCCCTCCCCCTCCCCTCTCCCCCTCCTCCGCCCCCAGCTAAACCCCTCCCAGTCCAGCGCAGCACCGGCCGCCTCGGCGGCGCCGCCATCGGCGTCTCCTGCTTCGTCGGCAGCGTCCCTCTCCTCTGCCTCATCCCCGGCGTGGAAGAGCGTCTCGCCCACCAGGCTGCCGTCTGGGGCCCCCGCTGGAGCCGCGGCTTCGGCTACCTCGCGCCGCACGTCCAGCGACACGCCGGCCGCGTCGAGCCCAGCGTGATCAAGGGCGTGAAGAGGGTCGAGCCGCCCATGAAGAAGGTTGCGCTGTGAGTTTTTGACGTTCACTTTGCTCTCTCTCTCTCTCTCTCTCTCTCCCCCCGTACTCATAGCTATACTGGGCTGGGTTACGCTGACGAGCTCTCGCTGCGGCAGGTCCGTGGATCGCAATATCAAAAAGATCCTCCCCGAGACCTTGAAGAAGGAGTAGAGGCCGACCGAGGCGTGCGGACAAGACGGCAGGCACATGGTATGCAGATCTGGGGAGAAGAGAGACTGAAGGGAGAGGGCAAGATCACACATCGCTGGCCAGATGAGAACAGATCGATTGGTGTCGGGTATGGCGGCGTGCATGCGGATGTACTACATGTAAGATACAACTGCAAGAAGCCGTGGACAGTTAAGCGAATAAGAAGAAATTGACACAAACCACCTTTTATTTTCTGGTCTTCTCCTTCTTCTTCTTCTTCCTCTCCTTCTTCTCCTTCTCTAAGAGCCGTCCTTCACCCCGCCCACATCAAAGCCAAACACGCACCCCTCAAACTCCTTCCTCCGTCGGATCTTCACATCGAGGTCTCCCATGGGGCTAGCGCTCCCATTTCCCATACTACAGATGCCGCCCCGCTGCTCGCGCACCAGGTCCCCGTCCGCCCCACGAATCTCAAAGCCCCACACCACCATGGCCGCAAAGGCCGCCATCTCGTGGAACGCCAGCTGCCGCCCCGGACACAGGTTCTTGCCGCCGCCAAACGGCAGGTAGGCCTGCGCCTGCGCCTTCCGCGCCTCCTTCTTCGCCCCGGCGGCCTCGATCCAGCGGTACGGGTTGAAGTCCTGCGCGTCGGGACCCCAGGTGGCGGGATCGGATTGCAGGACCCCCGTCGGGATCTGCACGATGCCGCCCTTCTTCAGCAGGTACCCGGGGCTGCTGCTGTCCGCGGCGAGCACCGTGTCGGCCAGCACGGTCCGGATACTCGCGCCCGTCTTCACGAGCCGCAGCGTTTCCTGGAAGCAGCCCGCCAGCAGCGGGCACTTCTCCCGGAGCCGGCCGATGCTCAGCACCACGCGGCGGCGCCCTCCGCCTTCGCCTCCGCCTCCGCCTCCATCTTCGGTCCGCACGATGCCGCCTACCTCGGCCCGCAGGGCGGCGAGGAGCTCCACGTTGGAGAAGAGGTAGCAGAGCATGAAGTACACGTTCGGGACCGTGTTCGTGACGGCGGCGAACAGGATGGTGATCTCCGCCTGGGCGATGGCGCGGGTGCCGATGCCCCATTTGCGGGCGCAGCGCTCGCGGCCCTGGACGAGGCCGCTGGCGTTCTGTGAGAGGCCGGCGCGGTAGTACTTCTCAAAGGGATCCGCCATGGCGACGCGCGCTGCGTGGCCGCGGCGGGCGGTCACGGTGGGGAAGAAATCGAGGACGAGGAGGCCGAGATCCTTTTCGAAATCCCTGCGGAGGGGGAGCAGATCACAGGTCAACCTTTCTGTAGTAGCGATGCCCATGCTCGTCCAAACGCCTCACGCCTCCCTTCTCTCCACCCCCAGTTTCTCTCCCCGAAAGGGCAGGAGCCAGAAGCCAGAAGCTAGGAGCCCGGAGCCCGGAGCCGGAGGCTAGGATGGAAAGTGCTTACCAGATCAAAGGCTCCAGTTTCTCGTCCCACGCGATCGGGTTCTCCTTCCCGTACAAAGCTTCCGCGCTGGCCGTCACGTAGAAGGTCCGCAGCCAGCTGAACAGCTTCCTGTCTTCCCAGGCCGTGCCCAGGCCGTTCAAGGTCTGGGCCAGACAGTTGAGAAGACGGGCATTGGTTTCGAGCAGGGAGGGGCCCATGAGTGCTCCACTAGACCGAAGAAGAGACCCAGTCAGTTCCGTCGGGGGTCTGCTCCTGCATTCGGAGTTTTCTTCTTCTTCTTCTTCAACAACAACAACAACAACAACAACAACAAAAACAGCAGCAGCAGCAAGACTGAGCGTGCCAAGGATCCTTCTTCCTCGTTTCCCTTCGCTCTTGAAGCCGGGAAGGAGGAGGGAAAGGGGATAGCAGAGTTCTCTCTCTTAAGCGAGCGAAAACAGAAAAACATTGATCATTGATCATTGATGCGGGGATATGGGGAAATGGGGAAATGGGGAAATGGGGAAATGGGGAAATGGGGAAATGGGGAAATGGGGAAATGGGCATATAAGGATATAAAGATATAAAGACATAAAGATACCGAGCTCATCAACAAAAAACTCAACAAACCACAAACATCAAACCCAACTCACTACATCTCGTTATGCAACTCCTGCATATAACAGCTGTTACTGCTGCTGCTGCTGCTACTCTGTCCCCTACCCCTCTCCGGATCCTCCCCCTCCCCGGACCCGGACCCGGACCCGGATCCGGACCCCGGCGCCGCCTGCACGATCTCCGTGGTGCGACGATCGAAGTTCACAGCGCGACACGAGGCCTGCTGCTTGACGACCTCGAAATCGACGGTCCGGCTCGCGCGGAAGGCCGCCTGCGCCAGCGCCGGCGAGGAGATGACGTAGATGCGCTGCGAGAAGATCTTGAGCGTGGTGATGGGGCGGGGCTGCGTGGCTCTGTGGAAGGGGGGGGGGGGTAGATGGTTGTGTTTTAGTGATTTGATGTGGTTATCGTTGTGGTGGTTGGGATGAGAGAGGGAGAGAGAGGGGGAGAAGGGGAAGAAAGGGGAGGGGGAGGGGAAGGAAGGGAAGAGGGAAGAGGGAAGAGGGAAGAGGGAAGGGGAGGGCGGAAGGAAGGCAAAAGGGAAGAGGGAATCTAAGTACCGGAGGATAGAGAAGTAGGCGTTGTGGTGGAGGAGGAGGTTGATCATGTGACCTACAATCGGCACGCGCGATTGTGCGACGGGCGGCTCGCGGGGTCCGTCGTCGCTGCAGTCAGCCTTGCAGCTGAAGCTGTAGCTGGCCCATATCGCGAGTGTCACGACGGTGATGAGGATGGCGGTCGTGGCGGTTGCGGTGGTGGTTAGGGTGGCGATCATGCTTGCGATGGTGGTTGTGATCGACATGACGATGTCTGTCGGTGCCGGTGCTTGCCGGTGCCCGATGCCAGTGCTTGGTGGAGCTGGTAGGGCCGAGCTGGAGATGGAGATGGAGATGTAGGTAGTAGGTACGTAGTATGTAGCTGCTGCTGGTAGGTGAATCCGTCCTCGGGTAAGTATTTTCTGTCTGTCCCTTCTTTTTTCCCTCTCGTTTCTTACGAGGTCTGATCCCTGGCGGCCCTCCGCAAGCTCCGGGGCCAGGGGACCTCGCTTCGCCCCGGTCGTGGTGCAAGGCTGCCTTCCGCATCAACGCTCCGTACATCAATTTTCTGTAAGAAATACGCTCTAGAAACATGTAAGGAAAGTGTCACACTTAAGCCCGCCCGCAAGCTAAAACTTACGGCCCTTCGCAAGCTCCGGGATATGTTCGCCATGTAATATTCACCGCTATATAATCTATAATGATAACTTATTTTAGCGCGATGCATTTTATCTATAGCAATACCTAGCCTTCTTGTTGTTATTGTTGTTGTTGTATTTATTAACGTCGAGCGGGTAGCAGGCGAAGCCTGCCGCCCTGGGACCTCCCAAGGGGTACGGCGACGTGCTAAGCTAAGGACTCACATACAAGATAGCCTTCGCAAGCAATTCAAAGTGCTGCAGCGAAAGCTACTATCGTCTGCGCCCTTCTCCTACAGATAGGATGGATCACAGTGAGAGAGAATCTCGTCTAGGGAAAACCATTAAGGAAATCAGGCAGGTACAGACTGCTGTAGCTAGCTTAGAAGCGTGGCTATGTGAGTCGCAAAGCGACCAGTATCAAGGCCGGACCGGGGTCAGCCGTTTGTGCACCTAGTAGTGCTCCATAGCCCCTCTTAGGGCGATGCAGCAAGCAATTTTTCGAGCACTTCTTTCTTCTATCATCAATTCGCTATTGATCAGGTACTTGAGAGGAAAAGAGTTTGTAATCGTAGTTCTTAATCGCAAAAAGTGGATTTCGATTGCAGAAGTGCAAATCTAGCTTATCAAACTCGCAAGATCCCCCCCTTTTTGTTCAATAAGCGATTGATTAAGATTTTAGTGTTCCTCGATAGCCCAAGCTCAAATGGATGCACCCAATCAACGTAACGGCCGTAGGTCGGATGAACGCATCTTCAAAAGTGTACAGGATCTACATTTAGCTTAACATTAGATTAGATCTTGCAATCAACCAGCGGACCAACGAATCAACTACAGTAGCAAGTGGATATTAATCAGTGCGCTAGCTTGTTATCTGTGGGCTCTCGGTGACGGTCAGTCCAAGCAAGTGTCTCAGTCCAAGCATGTGTCCCAGTCCAAGCAAGTGTCTCATTCCATATTGAAAAAATTGATATTTATGATATTGACTGCATTAGACAATGGCTTTGTACTGCGTACGTAGTACTACTATATAAAAGTTCGATAAGCAAATAGAGTTCGATTGCGCCGACCCGTGTATCAACTTTTCAATACTATCATACTACATATATTGCGCCATTGATGTATCCGAGTTGCAAATCGCATCCATTCTACCTACCATCTGGATGTTCCCGAGCCTTTGAAGCTTAGTTAGCAATCGATAAGCTGCACGCTTGCCACAGTGCAAGTTTCCATTTCTACAAACCGAATCTTTTCAGCAATACATACTACTATTAAAATAATCTGTTGGATTGCCGGTAGCGAACGATCATCTATAGCGTGCAGCGCACGTAGCTTCTTTGCAATTGCAGGACTGTCGGTAATAGTATCTGGTTTCTGTCTGCTCCTCAGGGTTCAGGGGAGTGGGTTCTTTCCATGTGATCGGGAAGACTCACGAGATTAGCTATCTAATACTTAGTATTTACAAGGAACTTGGGGGCCCTTGAGGGTATGCCACGCTAAGCGAAGCATGGCCACGTAAGCGAGGCACGCTCATCCGTAACCGAGCTGGCCCTAACCGAGCTGCGTGGATATTGATGTCGACATTCCCCCTTATAATAAAGTATTGGAATATGCTACGTCCCACGCGCAAGTATTACCCCTTGAGGATAGGGTAAACAGAGGGGTTATAGTGGGAACTAAACTTTTGAGGCACCCTCGAGGGGTAATACTTACGCCTGTACCGTGATAAGTAATTCGCAAGGGGGTCCGGGGTCTCCCTGATAAGGAAGGGGGTTCAAGGGGGTCTCCTCCTGATGATAAATAATTATATGATTTATTTCTTATATAACAATACCTTCATATACATCTGGTCTTATATTTACATTTATTTTATAGCTGTAGTTGGAATATATTAAATTATAATACATATAGTATTCAACTTTAAATGATATACGTAGTAATAAAAAAGTTGATTACAAAATTTCGGTTCTGATTTTTAGCTGAATTATCATACTACTATATCGAGTAATCACCCCGTTGGTGACACTATAGAAAACATGGCCATCTGCCTGGTTCTACTTTTCACTCTTACGGAGGTACAGCGTTTAAGTAATTCCCTTTATTTTAACCTATGAAGCAGACTAGCTTAATAGAGCAATACCTTCACTATCCTTCGCTTCGTATCACTGAGCGCGAGAATATTATATACGTAGTATATTCGATAGAAATAAAAAACAGGGCTCTCTTCGTCTTACTTTCTTAATACTAAGCGTACGATTAAATAGAATTATAATACTACTGGTATTTTATTCTAGCCGTAGCACAAAGTAAGCTTAATCTTAATTCATTTTAATCTGGAGACTATTCTTTACCTAAGCTATCGACCTGCTGCGATCTTCATTTTTGCACTTTGCTTTACTACTTTATTCCAATTGCTGCGATCAAGCTTACGCATTTCGTCGCACCATCTTAATTGCTGCGATTAAGCTTGCCTACCTCATTACATATTCATCTTGGAACTGCTATAGCCAAGCTTGAAAGACCACCGCATCTCTCAATTCTTTCGTCGAACCGCTGCTTTTCAAGCTTTACTTCCATAACAAAAGCTCGCACTTGACTGCAAACGCACATAAACATACCGATGCACGTAAAACTCTTCACTAAGCTACTCTGCTGCACCTCATCAAGCCCTCCAACACCTCTCCCTGACTATCAGCTACCCCGAGCCTTGCACCTCTCTTACCAACCGCGGTCCTTTCCGACTCGGCCTCATCATGATAATCAATCCCGCAGATCTAATAGGTACATCTTCGCCCGCCTCAGAAACACGCCAATCCACTTCTTCCGCCAGCCTCGAAATACCCAACCTCCTCTCCGCCCCTCAACCTCTCGCGCTCCTCTGTGTACTATCATAAATGCAATCCCGCCGATCTCATACCGGTACCGGTAGGTACATCTCTGCCAGCCCGCTTCGCGCACCTTCCTAATTCAACAAATTCCGAGCTAAAAGCATCCGCTAGACCGAGAGCTCGTTTACTTGGCCTACCTATCTAACTTCCGAAACCTAATCGATGGATTTCCCTTATCGACTTGCCGAACAAACCTCGTCGAATGTGCTGCGCTTGCTACGGTACTACGTAGTAGCTCCGCATCGAATCTCCTTCCCTGCTGACGCCGAGCTACCTTATCTATGGTCAAGGGTATGTAAAGCAAAGTACGGTAATCAATCATTTCTTACGGAAGCTAGAGTACCGGTAATCAATGCAAATCATGACGGAAGCCAGAGTACGCAATGCAGAGAGAGCATCACGCTCCGCCATCAAAGGAAAAAAAATATTAGAAACTAAATCAGTTGCTAATCACCTCGATAACTAAAGCCCAGCTTGCAACGGGCGGAGACGCTGTTCTTCGAAAGGAAGGGGGTAATAGTCAGTGCGCTGACTTTGTGACCTGCGGGCTCTCGGTCACAGTCAGGACAAGCAAGTGTCCCAGGTCAAGCAAGTGTCCTACTTCAAATTGCCATTCCATAGTAAATCGCATACAATTCCACTACACTTGCGACAGCCATTTTTCCCTTAACATTTCTCTAACTATGCCTCCGCAAACTTCAGAAGCTCTTATAGCTCTCAATTATTACGGCCGCTATACTACTAAAAAAGAATACGACCGCGCCTTTCAAGAAGCGCGCGATTGGGCTTTAGAAGATATGGAAACCGATAATGAAAGAGTAAAACGACCGAAAAGCGAATGTGCTGCCACGTCAGCACGTATATTCGGAATCAAAGAACCTGCTTTACGAAAAGCTGTATACCGAGCTAAAAAGAAAAAGCGCAATCTTATCACAAGTCAATTCAATCGATAGGGAGGAAATAATCAGATTTTGTTGCAAGAGCAAGAAGAAGCGATCCGACAATATTGTTACGAGCAATAGGAGCTTAGTTTAGGAGCAACTCTTCTAATAGTACGCGCTAGAATCAATCACTTAAGAGCAGTAAGTGTTATTATTTTATTTTATTTATAATTATCAAATCGCTTTTAACGTCGTATAGAAACAACAGCCTTCTTTTTCTCTTGTATCACAATCTTAGTTTAAAGATTGGCTCCGCCGAAACCCCGATCTTTATACAATCAAGACTAAACCAATCGAGCGCGTTAGACTCGAATCGCATACCGAAGAGGAGATAAAGAAATGGTTCGAAGAATTGCAAAAGGATATAGTTCTTTATAATATCAACATTCCGAAAAAGCTTTTGAATATGGACGAGTCGGGAGCGCGTGTTAGATGTCCGCCGAGAGAGACTGTGATCGTTCTAAAAGAAGTCAAAGAAATGTATACAAGCTCTTTAAACAATCGCAAATCGATTACAATCATTGAAACTATTCGAGCAAACGGCAAAAAGACTCTTCCGCTATATATCATTACACCGAGCAAGAAGATTATAGAGAATTGGATTACGGATGAGCTTACAAGTGACGAAACGATTGATTGCTCTCTTACAAGATATATTAATCACTAGATTATCTTAAACTACGCCGATCACCTTATCAAATAGACATACGCTAGGCTAAATAAACTATGGAAAATGCTGCTTTTAGATAGCTATGAGTCTCATCGATTAGATGAATTTGTATTAAAGCTTAAAGAAGCGCATATTCATTGCTTTTGGTTTCTTAATCACTTTACACACGCGCTTCAACCTCTTGACGTTAGAGTATTTCGTCCTTGGAAGCATTATCACGCTCTTGCTGTCTAAAATGCTGTTCGAAGTTTAGACTTCGAATATACTATTACTTCGTTCTTTCGCGATCTTACGAACATCCGCTAATAAGTTATGCAACATTATACGATTGTAAACGCTTTCAAAACCTCGGGAATATAGCTTTGCAATATCAACGCTAGTCTTAAAAAGATTCGCTTTTATAATAAAGGAAAGAGATCAATACTCAACGAAGAAAACGATAAAGATAATCTCGAGCTTCCCGCGCTTCGTCCTTTTCGACTTGAAGATTTATGGACTACAACTGCAAAAATCAATTTATTACGCACTCAAGATCCGACACAGTTTTCCGATGATACGAAAGAACTCTTTAAAATTACGATGAAGCAAGCTTCTATCGAGCTTCAAAAAGCACATCTTACTTCGATGGAACATATTAATCTTCAGGAAAAGATTAGAGAAGATAGGAAACGCAAAAGAACATCGCGAAAGAGTATTTATAAAAGAGGTTCTTCTACTGCAACTAGCGATTTAAAAGAACGAATTCAAATTCGTACGGAAGCAGAAAGGGTAGCGGCGTTACGAAAAGCTAAGAAAACACTTCAAGCAGCTATCAACAAGCACAATAAGCTCTTGAAAGAGCAAGGTATAGCTGCTCGAAGAGCTAATAGAGCTAAAAGAGACCGAGTTCAGCTTGCAATTACAAGAAATAGCTTGCTTGCACCCGAAGATTTAATCTTAGATCGAGAGCTTGATAAAGCACTTACTACGATCGAAGACGCTCGCTCAACGCGCGAAGGTCACCTTGAACTATTCTATATAGTTCTTCAATTGGAAGCTGAATTAAAAAGAGAAACGAAGAGCTATATCGATTTTCTTGAGCTTGATCTTTTAATTAAGACTAATAATTCACGAGTAGAACAGCTAAATCACGACGAATTCCGCGAATCGAGTCCAATTAAAAGTATTTTATAAGAAAGTTCGGATGTAGAATCAAATGCTAAGTCAATTGATTCTATTCAAAAAAATGCCGACTTTTCTTATGTAATATAATTGTCAAAATTCGTTGCGTTGTGCATTTTTTTTGTATATAGAATGCTAGTATTTTCGATGTTCTAACCATTTGAAGTGGGACACTTGCTTGACCTGGGACACTTGCTTGTCCTGACTGTGACCGAGAGCCCGCAGGTCACAAAGTCAGCGCACTGACTATTACGTAGTAGGTACCGTATTGCGGTCTTGGCAGGGGCGTTAAGGGGCTTCTGGTTGGTTGAGGGATTAGTCAGCTGAGGCTAGCCGCCGCCCCACGGTACAAGACCTCGGCCCTACTGTATTATAGTACCTACCACGTACTACGTACTTCCTCTCGTCGTCTTACTTTCTTAATACCAAGCGTACAATTAGATAGTGCTACAATACTATTTAATTCCAGCCGTAGCAATACGAAGCGAGGGGTTGTATAGGTATTGATTTATTGATTAAGCTAGTTTGGATAGTAGATTAAAACAAGGGGAATTACTCAAACACTGTACCTCCGTACATACACTACGACTACTTTTTACTTTACGTTTCACTCTTACTTGTTATGCTTACTTTATTAGGGGACCCTAGGGAAGTCTTTCTTATTTTTTATATAAAAAAGTTACGAAGTAGATTGATAGCTAAGAGAGGGGGAGAGAGAGAGAGAGAGAGAGAGAGAGAGAGAGAGAGAGATGATAGTCGGTGAATGATAATAGAAACCGAAAGAAGTGCATCGCTTTGGTGTATCTATCTATCCGCCTATCTATTTACATGAAAAGAGTGAATGAGTTGAAGAAAGAAAGAAATATTTTCCTGTTCCGTCTATTCACAAACAGTGTATACCTTATAGTTCACTCCATCCTACCAATTCACCGGGAACGCCCCGATCGAGAATACAATTCTCGCTTCCTTCTTTCGCTATGATATGAAAATGCCTACCTGCCTGCCTGGTTATAAATATGTGTGTGTGTGTACAACACACTCCCAATAGATGAGACAACGAAAGGGAGGAGTATACACCAAGCCGCCGCAAACACCCCTTGTATGGTAACTCCTCTCTTGTTATTTTTTGGAGTTAAAATCAATTGCCCTCCACCCTACTCCATCGTTACAATCCTCACCTCGGCTTCGGTGGAGGCGTCGGTCTCAGCCCCATCCCCTCTTCGCTGTAGCTATGCCCGTGCCCAAAGCCGAAGTCCAGTGGCTCGATCCAGGCACGGGGGCTGTGCGGGCCGGATTCCAGGTCGCTCCGGCCGTCATTGCTGCGCCACGCGTGGTTTTCGTGGTTGAGGGGTCCCGAAGGGCGGGTCGGGGTCGAGTGGTCGTATTGTTCGTACTGGTGGTCGTGGTCGTGATCGTAGTGATGCTGCTGCTGCTGCTGCTGCTGCTGCTGCTGGTGGTGGCCGGCGAAGCTCTCGCCCAAGTCAGGCGGCGCTTCCGAGGAGAAGGAGAGGCGGGAGACGGAGTGGGGGGAGCGGATCTGGAGGGTGATGGCCATGGCCTCGCTGTCTCTGCTGTCGCGGGTCGAGCTGCGGTGGCGAGCCGGGTAGGGGCTGAGCGGGGTGAGGGAACCGAATTCCTTATTCAGGCCCGGGTCGGCGTGGGGATCCGGGTAGGAGTTTGAATTCGTATTTGGGTTTGGCGGGGAGACGGGCGCGGCGGAGGTCTTCGGCAGGCGCTCCAATTCGATGGGTGGGGCGGAGCGGCTGGAAATGTTGGACTGTTCGGAGTCATCTAGGCGTTTCGAGCCCATGGAGGATTTTATGGCCAGTGAGGATTTCATCTCCCGGATAAAGGGGCGTAGGAGCGGGCGCAGGACGGGGATGCACTGCACTATGATGGTGCCGGCGACCTCGGAGGAGTACCAGATGTTGGACATGCCCCTGCGCCAGGCATAGTAGCGGTCGTCCAAGCCAAACTGGGCGCCGTCTCTCCATACGGTGCGGACGGCGGTGCTAATGGCGATACTGGGTAGGGAGAGGTAGTCAGCAGGCAGTCCGAGCGGGAGTTGAGAGTAAAAGTAAGGTAGGTGAGAAGTAGGTATAAAGGAGGGCAGGTTGAGAGACGTGGGGGACGTGGGAGATATAAGAGGGACGAGGGGCAACGGGCGAAGGTAGGTAGGTACCTAGAAGAAATAAAAAGGAGGAAAAGGGATGGTAAGGAGGGGTATCGGGTCGCAAGATACAAAGTATGCAAGAGGTACCGGGCATAAGAGGTATGAGAAGAAGAGAAACATCCAGCTCGAGGACTAGGAGCACACTTACATCATGCCCAAGCTCATCGTCGAGCACAGCGCAATCTTCTCAATGCGTCGCATATCCAGGTTCCACGTGATCCACCACGGGAACAGCGCAAAAACAAAGTCCATAATCACGTTGTAGTAGTTCCCGCCTACCCGGAAGTCGCTCACGGCATCGAAGTCGATACAAGGGCCCTGCAGCCGGTACCACACCTGGGTCTTCGGTCGGCCGCAAAAGGGGGCCCACTGGAAGAAGACTTTGGTGATCATCCACGCGTTCATGGAGATGATGCAGAACCACAGCATGCTTTGCTGAGTGCGGTTCGACATGCGGATGAGCGTGATACCCAAGGCTGTTTTGGAGAGGGCTTGGCCGATCAGCGTCCCACACGAGCTGACGTTGATGAGGATGTGCATTCGGTCGTCCCAGTCGCCCTCCACGTAGCCCGTGGCAAACTGAATGGTAATGAAGATATTGGTGGTCATGAGTACCAGCTAGAGAGGAGGGGGGGGGGGGATCAGCATAAGGATTTGGAAAGGGGGGTCAACGGGTGACAGACAAGTAGATGGATACATAGACGGATGGGTACATAAACCAGCAAAAGGGCAGATCAAAAGATTTTAAATACATGAATGAATAGGGAAGAGAGTAAACAGATGGATAAACAAGGCAGCAAAATGATAGACGAATATAGACGATTACATCAAGAAACAGGGAAGAGAGTACATATGTGGATATATAGAAAGGTAGAAGATGGGTGCATAACATAGAAAAAGGGTAGATAAGTCAACCGACGCATACATGAATAGGTAGATCGATACAACCAGCCACGCCCCTTCGCCCAACACATACATACACACACACAAGACAGAAGACTCGAAACGCCGACTTACCCATGATAGGATCAATACATGGTCATCGAACCACAAACCCGTCCGGCGAAAGAACTTGCTATAGACGCGCAGAGCTAGGAAGAGGCTGGCGCCTGCGAATAGCGTCCACAGGCCGGTATAGACCTCGGTGGCTGGTGAAATGCGGACGACGTCTTCTTCTTCCTCTTCGCGAGGGACGTTCCAGTTCATCTTTCGATCAGCAGCAGCAGCCGCCAAGCTCGAAAATATATCAATCAATCAATCCAACTTTCAGGATCCAAAGCACGCATCACACATCCCGATACCGTGAAAGAGGTAGAGGAGATAAACGATAATAATAATAATAATAATAATAATAATAACAATAATAATGAAAGAAAAGATTTTATAAAGGGAGAGAGAGAGGGCTTGACGATGGAGGAAGCGGACGAGGGAGAGAGGGCTGGGATGAGAGAAATGGGGAATGGGGATAAAGAAGGGGAAAACGCAAGTCATAATAGTAATTTCCACTCATGGAAATACGGAAATTTCCGCCTCACCAGACTTGACCTGATCCGACCTGAGCTCGATCTTCTCCTTGCCAGATAGTAGGTAGCTGTAAGGTTTCCTAGCTAGGCCGTAGTACGTACCGCCGGCAGGGGCGCCACGAGGAAAAGGCTCAGACCCACGGATCTAGAGCTGTAAAATCGATCAATTTGAGACATGGCCATGCAAGAGCTCAGGGGTGTTTTCTTGCAGGCCTGGGGTCGGGTTCCAGCCGCGGGTCCCGGTTCAAGTTCGGATGGAGGGCTGGAAATAGTAATTGTACGAGAAGCAGGGTAAGTTTAACGTAACTTCAACGTAAGCTCCGTATAGACGAAAGTGTGTTGTAAATAGAAGTGCAGAAGATGTGCCAAACAAGGATTTCTCCATAGTCCCGGACTTCTTCACTTCTTCTTCTTTTCCTCGCCTCGTCGCACGAAGGTTGGTGAAACAAGATACGGACTGACAGGGTACCGGTAGTTGACAGGTCGGTCGACCCTGGTTCGAGTTCGGGAGCACGCACCATGGTCCATACTGTCGCAGATGCAGATATACAGGTAATAATTGTATGTACAACTATGTACCAACCGACCGACCGCGATCTTGTCCCCAACCGTGAAATGATAGGGCAGTGAGTGTTTGGAAGGAAATGATTATCGGAAGGAAATTAAGAGAAACACGTATGCTCGCTCCGTATGTAGTTATATAGCGAAGTGCAATTTCTGCTGGCTGGCTATTCAAGAGCCAGAGCCAGAGCCAGGGCCAGGGCCAGGGCCAGAAGAAAGGACTTCCCTGGAGCGGTAGTTTTGGATGGGCGGCGATCGGACGAGACAAGAAGCGAAAGGAAGAAAAGAAATAGAAGTAGAAGAAGCAGAAGAAGAAGAAGAAGAAGAAGAAGGAAGAGTGAAGCGAGGGGGACACGTGCTGTTTTTTTTTTTCCGAGGGCCCGAGGGCCCGACGGCGGGGATTTTGTGCGGCTCTGAGCACGGGATGAGGGGTAATGTGAGTTGTGAGATGTGAGATGTGAAACGGTCAAACGGTTGACCGAGCGGGATGATGGAATAAGTTTCTTCCGAAGCGGGTCCACCGTTCCAGATAGAGTAAGGTACGGAGTAAAAGGTACGTACAACTACCGTAGGTAGCCTAGGCACTGGCGGCAGGGTGATCTTGGCAACGTAGAAGCACCTAGTAACTCCGTACGGAGATAGTAGTACTACCTACGTAGGTCGAGGTCCTGTGGTCCAGCCAGCCAGCCAGCCAGCCAGCCAGCCCAGCCTTATCCACGTGACTTTGCACGCAAAGATATGATCCAAATCATTACGTCGCTTCTATCCATTTGATTTCTCATACCAAGATATGATCCAAATCACCCCCTTTGATCCACGTGACTTCTCATATCAAGATATGATCCAAGTCCCCCTCAACCCATCAGTCCACGTGACTTCTCATACAGCACATAATCCAAGTCACCCCCCCCTCAACACACGTGACTTCTCATAGCAACATAGGATCCAAGTCACCACCCCTTTACCACGCAAACCCCAACCTACCACCAACCAACAAGACATGCCGGCCATGCTCGATGACCCCTTGGCCCCGACCATCTACCGTTCCTCGGGGGATCCGCCCTTCCCTTCGGTTCATGATCACGACCCTTCAACTCATCCCCTCCTCCCCCTGGACGTCTACCCGCGACAGGTCACCCTGCGCGACCGCATCACCACGGCCACCATCGTGCCCTTCTCTTCCCAGCATCAGGTTCCCCCCTCCCTTCTCGCCTACCTGTGCGACCAGTTGAACCGGGAAATCGAACGTGGAGATAGCTATCCCATGATTGATACCATGACGACGGATGCGTTTGCCGCCTACTGGTACCAGAACTTTGCCGCCGTGATGCTGCTGGGCAGCATCGAGAGCGCCGACGAGCTGATCGACGCCACCGACTGGGACTCGCAGTGTCTGGGCAGCTATTACATCAAGCCCAACTACCCGGGCCGCAGTAGCCACATTTGCAATGCCGGCTTCCTCGTCTCCCATGCGGCGAAGAACAAGGGCGTGGGCCGTCTGCTCGGCGAGAGCTACCTGGACTGGGCACCCAAGCTCGGATACACCTACTCGGTCTTCAATCTCGTGTTCGAGACCAACGTGGCCTCGTGTCGCATCTGGGATGCTCTGGGCTTCAAGCGCATCGGCCGAGTCAAGGGCGCCGGCAATCTGAAGAGCTACCCGGGTCAGTATATCGACGCCATCATCTACGGCCGTGACCTCGGCCCCGACGGCGAAGACTTCGTTAGCGAAGAACGCTTCGACAAGATCAAATTCTACCTCAAGTACGGCAAGTATCCCGCCGGCGCCGACCGGGCCGAGAAGAGCCGTCTCCGAAGCGCCGCCACCCACTACAAGCTCGTGCCCGAGTCCGACAAGCTGATGCTCAAGGACAAAGAGGTCATCGCGGATCCCCAGCGGCAGTACGTGATCGCCCGCGACGTGCATATGGTCCACCACGGCGGGATCAACAAGACCACGGCTACCATCGCCGAAAAGTACCACTGGGTGCGCATCAAAGAGACCGTCTCTCTCGTCATCCGCAACTGCAGCTCCTGTAAGGAACTCGGGAAAGCCCCTGTCGTCCGCGCCGACGGCGTGATCAGACCTGCGCCGCGCCTGGCCCCCTCACCGCCCGGGCAAGGCGCCGTCAGCGCGGCCGGCCGGGTGCTGAGCCTGCCGCACCCGGACCACAGCTCGCATGTCTCGGAGCACGGGCCGGCTGGCTTCGAACATGCGGGGCAGGGCTCCGTCTCTCCGCAAGTCCTGAATCGGAGCCTGCCGGGTCGAGATGCGGACCAGATGGGAGCAATGCAGCAGCACCCGCCCGCGCCGATAGCGCCGATAGCGCGCATGCAGAACGACTACCTGCCGCTGGATCCGCAGATGATGGACGATGCTCTCGTGCGCCACCAGCTGGGCAGCTACAGCTCAGATCCTCACACCCACGCCATGAGCAACCATCACTACGGCGAGCACGACCCGCACGATCCCGACTCCTTCCATGCCATGCTGACGAATAGTGGCCACGGGGGGAGGGATGGAGCTGGTCACGACGAGGGCGGGAGCGAGGATCTGGATATGCTGATTGATCCCGAGGAGGAAGGAGATGGGGACGGGGAGGAGGAAGGCCAGAGGATGGGGAAGGCCATGATGCAGGCGCAGGCTGGAGCGGCCGCGAGGGCTGCTGCCGAGGAGGCATTGAAGACGGTGGGTTGAAGACGGTGGGGAAGGAATATCAATTTTTTTTAGCGTGATGGCGGGTTTGGTTTGGTCTGAATAGGATTTCATTACGAGGCTTTGAGAAGTAGATATGTACGCTCTCTCCTCCTTTCGACAGAACATAACATCACGCCTTTTTTAAGATATATCATTTGGCTATAAAAGGTATCTTGAAGTGAAATTTTAGAATTTTATATATATATAACTCGGCGATGATGACGAGAACGATATTTATATACTTATACGGACCGAAGCGGCTCGTAAGGCCACACGTATTCGCGGTTATCGAGAGACAATGAACGTTAATAGAAAAAAAAATTAAATTGCCTCTAAAAGGTTTTCAAAGAGTCCCCGATACCGCGGGATCAGAAACCCGGGGCTATCTGAAAGAAAGCCTTTCCCCAACGCAGTTCTTACATCCGATTGAATACTACTTTATACATACGTGATCTCTGCTTAGCACGTCGCCGTACCTTATACCTTACAGGAGGTCCTAAGGCGGCAGGTAAAGCTTGCCACCCGCCCCTGATCTTAATAAATACAATAACAACCACAACAACAACGTTCAAACGAATATCGTATCTGCATCAGCCGAGATATACAGACGATTACTACATCATTCTAATACAAGTTTCGCTCTGCAAAGTCTTCACGGAGGGACGGCCACGAAAAGCTCTCTCTCAATAAACAGGTCGGACGCAGCGGTCTACCTAGGTACTCGGTAAACTGTTTCCTGACTGGAAATAAGGTTTAGCATTCGTTAACTCTAGGCAGACGATCCAATCAATAGGTAAGTATGTACCCATCTCTTATACAGTAAAAGGGGGTCAAAGGTTGGTTAAAGAGAGGACCGCTGAAAATGACTTTAAGGTAAGGTCAGATACCTAGATAACACACACATACAAACCTTACGCTTGTACGAGATGGAATAGATATGAATGTCGAGTTGATGTTAGATACGTCTTTCTTTTGCTGTGTTGTGTTGTGATGCAACCTTGGAAAGATACCGGTAGGTGCAGAGAAGAATTTTTTGGTCGTGGTGAGTCGGTGAGTGAGTGCATCTACTATTAAGTATCTAGATGTCTTGGATTTGCAGGCTTCTGCGAGGCTAAATAAATAAGCTCTTACTGTACTTGACCTGATCTGACCTGCATCAAAACTAGCCCTGCCTTTTCCGAGTGATTAGATATTAAATATATATATATATATATTCAGAAGTCTATCATTACTATTCCACAAGTACCTACTTCCTATGTATGATCCCTTCGACCAAAAATAAGTGGAAAATTTGAAATCCGCTTAGTAAATGAAGAATCGAGCGAAACGTTTCCTTCTTCGTCACTGGATAAGATGGATTGATGCTTAAGAATATGGAAATATACATATATATATATACATTAGAGTGGTGAATACGAAGGTATAGATAAGAGAATACATCAAAACGTCTTCAAAGACGCACCCCCACCCCCCCTCCATTGGCATCATCATCATCTATATCTATATCTACATAAGTCTACATAAGTCTACAAGTACCTCTTTTCTTCCTTCTGCTCATAAGACTGCACCAGATCCGACACCTGGAAATCAAACCAGTCGGTGAAGCCCATGCCGCACTCACTCCCCTTCTTCATCTCCTCTACGTTCTTCTTCACGTTCTTGAGCGAGTCCAGAGTGCCTGTTCTCGATTAGCAAGATTCATTAAAAGAAAGGGGGGGAGGGGGGAGGAGGAGACATACCGTCAAACACCTTCTCACCAGCCCGCATGACCCGGACCCTCGCATTCTTGCTAATGACTCCATTGCGGACCTTACATCCCGCAATAGCTTTATGCTGCCGCCCCTTCACCGTAATCTCAAATACCTGCGCTACCTCCGCCTCGCCCAGCACACGCTGTGTAATCAGCGGCGGCAGATGCTTGCTCAATTCTGCCTTGATATCATCTACCAACCGATAGATGATATTATGGTTGATAATGCTGACCTTGGCTCGTTCAGCCATCGCAGCAATATTCGGCTCGACGTCGGTGTTGAAATTGATCAAGTGGCCTTTGGCACCAGCAGCGTGCTCCACGTCAAACTCGGAGAGCTGGCCAACTCCGTAACGCAGGACGTGAGGCTGGACTTCCTTGTTGCCTAGCGCGGAAATTTGGTCAATGACTGCTTCCACAGATCCACTGACGTCGCCTTTGATGATAAAGTACACTTGCTTGGGTCCAGTGGGCCCAGTATCCTGAACTTTTTCCGGGACATCTTCATGGGCTTTCTTGGCTTCAGCAGCTGCTTCCGCTTCAGCTTTCTCACGTGCCCGCTTCTCCTCGACTGCTTTTCGGCTTTCGTTGATGGCATCCATGTCCTCGGCCATCTTGTCTCGCTCGGATTTTTCGAGTCGGTATTCGACCACGCTCTTCGCCTTGTTCTCATCGGGGGCCTGAAGAACTTCATCACCAGCCAGGGGCTGTTCGCGCCAGCCGTCTATCTCGACAGGCGTTCCTGGGCCGGCTTCTTCAATCTCAATACCTGCTTCATTACGAAGACAACGAATTCTCGCCCATGTCTTGCCAGCAACGATAAAGTCACCAGGCCGCATTGTACCTCGTCGGACAAGTACTGTCGCTACTTTACCCATCGACTTTATACTCGCTTCGAGTACCCATCCTTCAGCTTGGCCATCGGTCTCGGCTCGCATATCAAGGATCTCGGACAAAGTGACAGCAGCTTCTTCCAGCTCTGGCATGCCCTGGCCAGTCTTACCACTCACACAGACAACCTGAGTGTCACCACCAAAGTCCTCGACGTCAACACCATGGCGAGCAAGGTCTTGCTTCACACGATCAATATTGGAATCCTCCTTATCAATCTTGTTAATCGCGACAATCATCGGTACTCTGGCAGCCTTGGCGTGGTTGATAGCTTCAATTGTCTGCGGCTTCACACTGTCATCTGCTGCAACGACCAGAATAACAATGTCAGTAACGTTCGCACCTCGCTGACGCATGCTCAAGAAAGCAGCATGACCTGGCGTATCCAGGAAAGTAATGACTTTGCCAGAAGGCATAGGCACCGAGAAAGCACCGATATGCTGAGTGATACCACCATGCTCGGTCGCGGCAACCGATGACTTCCGTAAATAGTCCAGCAAAGTCGTCTTTCCGTGATCAACATGTCCCATAATTGTAACAACTGGAGGCCTCTGTGGCAACACTGTGGGATCCTCAGGCGGACCCCTCGCTCTCAAATCTTCCGAAAATCCTCGATCAATGATCGGCTCGAAGTTATACTCTTGTGCAATAAGTCCAGCATTCTCTGCGTTCAAAATGAAGTCGTGGCTGGTGTCTTCGAATCCCAGCTCCTCCATCTTCCAAACGAAGTCCTCGTACCTGACTCGAAGTGCCACGGCCAGATTCGATACGCTGATGAACTCTGGCAAGAGTACAGGAGTAGGAGCAGCTCGCTTAGCGGCCTTCCTTTCGGCCTTCTCTCGAGCCCGTTGCGCTTTCGCTTCTGCTCGAGCCAAAGCCGCTTCAGTCTCAGCTTCATCCTCCTCTTGTCTCACAAATTGAGCACGCCTCTTGATTTTGTCTTTGCTCTTTCCTCTCGGTGCGTCTTCGTAGACTGGCTCTGCAGACTGGCGACCTCTTCTCTTTTTCTCTTTTGCGGGCCGGGAACTCGCCTCAATCTCTTCTTCGGTCATCTCCCAGTTCTTCTTGAATTCCTTCTCGATCGCTGGCTGTACGTGCCTCTCCGGAGTCTCTGAGGATAGCGCTTTGAAATTCATACCAGAATTGTGTTGTCCTTGAGGTTGAACCTGTCCCACTCTCTGAATTTCATCAAAGACAGGAGATTCTCGAGAATCAGGCTTTCGTTCTCGGGCAGGCCTCGTTCCAGTTGCGAGCGGCGTGTATCGCCCATACTTCGACTGCTCCTCCCTTTCAGCGCGGCCTCGCGTGAAATCAAAACCTACAGTATCTTTCTGGACCTGAGGCTTAACTCTTCTTAGCTGGCCCCAGTTCGAATCGTCTCTTTCCGCCTCCGCATTGCGTTGCTCGTCATCACCCAGAATATGTCTAAATCTTGGTGCGATCTCGGCTTTTTGCGCTCCTTCAAACAAAATTTTGTTTTTCTGGTGTCGCTCCATGGCTTTTCGTCTGGCAACTTCCCTCTGCGCCGCTTCGATTCTCTGTGCCTCTGTCCGCGGCACCAATCTCCCGCCACGCGTTATCTCCGGCCCATTTCCATAGCCCTGCGTGACCTGTCTCTGCTGTGACTTTGCCTCTCGTGCAAGCATCATATCCCGAGCTCGCTTCTCATGAGGATCGAGATCCCAAGCCGCGTCGGCCTCCGGGGCGGCAGGCTTGTGAAAGTGTGGTATAGGGTGTTGCCCAGCCTGCCATCTTTCTGTCAGTGCTTCAGACGAGACTGGATCTCGCGGACGCTTCTCCTGGGACAGAGCTTCCTTGTTTTGAATCTCAGGAGTCGGTAAATCTGGCTTCGGCCCGGCTGCTTGCTGCGGTAAAGCACCTGGTGTCGGAATCGCGCCCAAGGGTGGTATACTGCTCCCTCCTCGTCCCCAACTCGGTCCAGCAGCAGGAATTCCTACCCCAGCTCCTTTGACTCCCCAACTCGGGCCTGGACCTGGTCCCGCAGGACGTCCCCAACCTGGCTGTGGTCCCCTATTGGCACTATCTTGCGCGGTTGCCGGTATCTCTCCAGGCGGTTTGGCGACGGGTCGAGAGGATTGGAGGTATCGGCGTTGAACATGGGAAGATTGTCGAGCTTGACCCAGTCTGTGAGCGCAAAAAGCGCACAGAGATGGACAGCGTTTTTCCTATAGACTATGAGCTTTGGATTACAAGGATGAAGATAAGCCATACCCGTAGTACACTGCGGCCTCTCATTGTTAGTTGAATGACGGGCAAAGAAGGGAAATCCTCGATGGCAAAGTACCAAAATTCTTGATATTCCGTGTCACGTGGGGTAGATCTTATCTTATCGGCCTCAAGCCCTTTCAGGCTCGTAAAAACTTCTACCAAGAGCGCATCATGGCTCCCAAGGGCAAATCTAAGGCGCGAGCCTTCAGAACCGTATCCTCAACTCCCAAGCCATCTGCCGCGGCGTCGCTGGAACCTCTTCCGCCGTTCAAGCGTGCGCCGGCGACCCTCGAGCCTTTCCTCTCCCATCTCGACATATCCCACGTCTATATCACACACATCGACACGAAACCTTCAGACTTCAAGAAGAAAATATTCCTCGTCCCGGTCCTCATGAATATAGCCTTCATCGGGCTTTTAATATGGAGAATTAAGACTATTGGGCCCTTCTACATGAAGATATGTTTCTCCCTTATGGGCAAGTTCAATGAGACGACAATTGATACGGCGAATATACCTTTCAATGAGTCGGTATGGGAGCTGACCAAGCGTTTCTCGACGTTCATGGTGGATCTGCTCTTATACGTGTTTGTGTGGCCATGGCCCAGGGACTTTTTCGCGGGCAAGGCAAATGGGAATCCGGTTGCGTGGAGATTTGCTGTGAGGTTTCGCACGCAGGAGATTATTGTCAGACGGAGTAGGAACTGGGTCCGTGCAATTGGGAATGCTACCCACGAGGGACCTGGTCAGGAAAAGCTCTTCGATATCTTGAGGAGTGCCGTCGACCCCATCTGGATGGCAGAGAAGACGGGATACTTGATGCTAAACAGCGAGTGGGATCTGGATTGGAGGAGCATGATTATTGCCACGAAGCTGGTGGACAAGAAGACCCTTTCCGTGCAGGATTTCAAGACTACGATATTGGTGCACAATGAGGATTTCGGCTGGATGGTCATTGAAAGTGCAGTTGCTGGGGGGAGTGTTGCTGAGGAAGAGGGCAGGAGGAAGATTGTGGCCTTCAAGGACGAATTGACGGCAATGGGAAAGGAAAACCTGTTTTTCAGGTGGATCGAGTTGGTGCAGTTCGAGTCTTCGAGACCCGGAGGCTTCACGCCCGAAAGGCAGCTGGAAACAATGGCCAAGGCCAAGGATTTGTTTGAAGCTCAAGGAATAGACTTTGATAAATTCTGGTCGAAGGTTGGCGGAATGGAGGGAATGCCAGGAATGGATCAGATGTAGACGAACTAAACACATCTGTTTGCACCCCATCCGACGACTTCGGATCAAACCCTGTGAGTTCTATGCTGAGCCTTGACTATACCGGTTCTAGAATCTGTCTCCTAATACTAGTGGACGGTTCGTTTTCGAGATTTTTTTATAGCAGCATGTCTGGACAAGGGAAAAGGCGCAAGGCAAAAACGATTTCGTTTTCTCTCGTGTCATGACTGTGCCTGGATACTCGAATCGCGCATCCATTTCACCACAGATCTTCGGACTTGAAGTCAAAAGGCGATAGAAAGGAATTATTCTGCCGAAGGGTGTTTTGAATCAATTACTCGATTCGCTGTAGCGGATGGGCAAGCAGAGACATCTAGAGCATTTGGAGCACCACCTCCTTCAGTCTTTTGCCTAACGTCAACCTTCCTTCAACCGATCAGCCAACGAACCTCACTACAAGTCTACGAAGAACTCACACGCGCTGGTAGGCCTCTCTAGAGATCAGGAATACCAAGAATGTATTCTTTGTGCTGCAGACTAAAATCCGGTCTCCGTATCAGTATGCTCCTGCATGGTAGCCATGGTATCTGCTTCCGTTCCCATACACGCAATAGATTTCTGCCTTCGCCTTCGTCGTCCGCCGGGATCAAGATGTCTTACGCTGGGAGTGGTAGTGGCTCTAATTGATGACGTACAGTGGCAGCATCTTCATTGACTTGATCAGCCATCATCGAGTTTTGAACATATGAGGCAGTGACTGCTGTAAGTACCAGGTCATCGAAATCATGCGTCGGTACAGTTCGCAACCCAACAGAAGCCATCATTGCGTGAGAGGAAAGAGGCGATTCGAGGGGGCAAGTTTATGCGCCACCCGGAGATTTACATATCATCCTTTCGCTCTATCGCGGCTAATAGAGCCAACGACCATCTTGGGCGTGCACCACATCAGGATGTGCTCCGAGTCACAAAATGCCTCGTTTTGCCTGAAACACGATTCGGAAGACCAGATTGAAGATTCTCATGCCTGATTCATTAGGCGGTCTCAAGTCTCGCTTATACGGTGGGCCCAGACTACCCAAGTAAACATCAGACGATCGGCCAATCGATTTCCAGTAGCCACGAAAGTCCGGTGCCGCAACGTTACCAAGTGAGCAGAATAGTGGTTTTCTAGTGATGGTTCTTGCGAGTAGCGTTCACGGTATCCCTGAACTCCACTACTGAACCTCCTTTCCCATCACCCGCACCCCCTTTGTGTCCCACTTCGGGTACGGAACGAGATAGGCATGCTTCATCTCTACACCAGAAACATCTGTCTCGTACAACTCGAGCGTAGAGCGGGGAAACAAAACTGCGAGGGTTTTATAAAGCTCAGCTTGCGCCAAGCTATGGTGTGTGTGTCAATCATTGTCATCACAGAACGGGTAAGGCCTACTTGATTCCAATACAAGCTCTTGATCACTTTCCGAAAGGCACGAAAAATCTCTCCAGCTCGGGCTTCCCGATCCATCGCTCAGAAAAGAACCCTTTCGGGTCGAGGTAGATGGACTCGTTCATGAGGATGTGGAAGGTAGTCATGGACACGGGCGTGTTGGGTGGAACCACCCCGTCCCTTTATTTCAGTGCCATATCTGAGGCTAGGCGAGGATCCCGAGCGCCAACCCCATGGGAAAGTCTGATTCCCTCGTGGACACAGCCGTTGAGATACGGCAGTCGCTCCAACTTGTGCCAGTCCAAAGGCTTCGTCGATGTCGATCCAGCTGCAGCCAACTCCTCTCGCAAACTTTCTGAGAATCTCAGGCTTGCTACTGATGTTGAAGCTCGCCACAGTCAGAGCCCAGGATGTCGTGATGAGGCCCGCTGCGATAGTAAGCTGGGCTTCATCTATGAGACGAGCGTCCGACTTCTCGGACGCAGGTAGATCGCTATCGCATCTTTCATCCCAATTATACTGTGATTCAGAAAGATGGGCTGCGAAGCGAGATCCGGCCCGTTTCCACTCCTACATACATTCATCTAGGTTTGTTTGTTTTGATCACCCTCGCTTAATCAAAGAAAAAGTTAATATAATAATCTCAATCCTCCCCCCC